GGCAAAAAGACTCTGAAGTTGGTACACTAACTGACTTAATTCACTGCTGTACTAAGAGTTTCAAATATAAACAAATGACAGTCTTGAGAGGCCTAGCTCCACTCAAACTTTTAAATAATTGATTATTCTACAATTATTGCATGTAGATTAACTGAAGGCATAAAAACTTAACTGGAACATAAGAATAACATAATTCAATCATTTTTAATGTGATAATATTTTTTAATAATTTTTAATTTACCAACATAAAAGAATAAAAAACTGAACTCGCTAAATCGAGTAAGAGTGAGAATATAAATATTGCATATACACACGTTTGGTGAGGTTGATTGCAACAAAAAAAAAAAAAAAAAAAAGGGGGAGATGCATAACTACATGTTATAGCACTCCCATATACAAAATTTCAGCATTCTATGGCTGCTTGTTTTTGAATTATGTGAGATACACACATAAGTACAGATGTCACGAGAAAATTCTCTACTGAATCCATTTTAAATTAATTTCACACTCTGTTTTAGGAAGGAAAAAAAAGAGTCTTTTATTCTGTCTGCACGTACAGATGTCACAACAAAACATCATTCAAATGGATTCGAGAGCAGTCAAAATGGCTATTTTCATTTATATATGATATCAGAAATTTTCTGCGATTACAATAATTCCTTTACTTCGTACAAAGAAATAATAATAATGAAATCTTTGAAAATAAAAAATTTAATTTGCTGCACTCAGAGCAACTGCTAAAAGTACACATCCTCAATGATGGTGTGCCTTGGTGGTAGCAGCTCATAATGTAACACTAGGTGATTAGTCTAGTAGAACAGAGTATGACCTTGTGTGAGACCAGAGCAGACCTTGTGTCAGACGGGGTCACACAGTAGCAACAAATGTCTTGTAAGCTTCAAAACATCCTACTGACCCCATTTTTCTTCACTTGTAAACAGACTAAATAATGGATGTGTTGAAAGGAAAAGACAGCAATGAAAAACACGCTATCATTCTTTGTTCCTTGTTGGCTGCCAACAATACGAGGGATACCCACTTGCTCAACTTGTACTCCTTCCTATGTGGTGTAGATAAGTCTGACTTTTTCCGAGGAAACCTGAAAGCATTTGGCAATTTCATCACCCCTTTGCCTGCTGTCCTTCTCTATAGCTGTCTTCTTCTCTACGGTCTTATTGTCGAACACATGCGTTCACTCACTGTGGGGTTCATCAAAGGCTTGGGTCTCCCAACCTGAACTTTTGAAACCAATGCCTGGTGGTGCATTCAGCCATGGCATCCTCCCTGATTGCCTGATATATTTGACAACTTGATAAACAAGCCCACCTCAAACTCATCCAACAAACAACTATAAACAGGCTGATTCAATACCTTCATTTCTTTTCGGCACTAGACTAGCTGTGAATGCTATGTAAGTGCAACATTCCTGTATTACTGGAGGTCAATTGTGTCTTTAATTCTCCATCACTTTTCTGGTATGCGAATCATTTCATTTTCTGTGTTCCCTCTTTATTTCTACTCCATCTTCATTTAATGCAATGTCAAAAATAGTAAGAACATTTTTAATTACCTTGTACCATGGACAAATATACGCATATTTAATGAATATTTTTTTTTTCAAAAGGGAAAGATTTTTAATTCTCTATTGATATGAGGTACCATGAGATGTAAACAGTAGCACTATTTATCAACATTTTCATGCTGCCATAGCTAATACCTGTAAGTTTCACTTTAAAAAAAAAATCCGAAAGGTTTCAGATTTTAAATTACGTTCAAAAGGGTAGTTTTTATAACGTTTTGTGTGTTACCTTTATTTATTAAATAGCATGTTCTATGTACTCAAACTATAAAATTCAGTTCAACAGCAATATCGCGAATTAATTTTAAAATGAGCATATCTTTAGAATTTCCGATACAGAGTCTCACATGGCTGGAGATATAAATGTTTTTTATCGTACAATGTTGCCACTGCTTGCAATCGTTGCTTTGAAATCGTTTAGTTTTTTAATAAAAAATTCGTTGAAGTGTTACAAAATCCGAAATTGATAATAAAACAAATTTAAAATTCAAATTAGGGCTTCCACATGCCCATATTATATGGAAGATTACGTTATTCAAATTTTGATGGCTCTAGGTACCATTGTTTTAAGAGTTTTAATGATTCCAACTTTATTATTAGGTTTAAAGTTGCCATCATTAAAAACACTGGGTTAATTAAGCTGGAGGTAAATGACATATACAGTACAATACACGTTTTCTTCATAGTGTTTAAAGTTTTTTTTTTTTTTTTTTTCTTTTTTTTTTTAATTATGTCTTGTGCAGTGCATCAAATGTAAACATGTTTAAGTAAAGGTAAACAAGATAACTGTTTAAGTAAAGGTCGGAAAGAAAATGAATAAAATTCTGTTCCAGAAATATGAAGGTCTAACCTTCTCTAGGTAAAAGTTACCCAACTGAATAAGATGGAACTGTTAAAAGAAAAAGAAAAATGAAATTGAAAATGTTTTTTAAAAAGTACAGAACATGATACATAACAAAACAAACAGCAAAATTATTTTGCATGAGAAATATTTTTTTTTTTATTAATCTCTTCTATTTAATGCTTCAAACAGAACTTATCATGGAAAAAGTGTTTTGAAGCCTTAAACAGAGTTGATTGATCAGTTCCAAATACATTTCATTTCTCTGAAACATTTGAAACTTGAACATTACTAAAGCATGATTTTAAAACAAATTTCTAATTAGTCTCAAATGCTGAGATCCCTACATGCATTTCTGCTCAAAGTAAACAAAAATATAAAAATTATATGCAAATGTTTAAAAGTAGTATAAAAACCTAAAAATAGGCAAAACCAAACTAATTACACAAAACTAAATTAAATCAAGAAGGAAAATTCTAAAACAAGAATTAATGAATCAATTTGTTGTTCATACTTGAAAAAGAATAAATTGTTCATAGTCGAATTATATACAACCAAATGCACGGTCTGGTTCAATTACCTATAATTTTATCTTTTTGTGAACTATAATTTTTGCAAAAAAGAGAGTCAATAAAACTTATTGCTGGAGCGATCAAGGTTAATTATGAAAAAAATGCCTTATACACTTCCCCTGTTAAAGGATGACTGGGCTTTAGGAGACCCAATCCCCAAATCCTGGCAGTGAAGAATTATCATCTACCACCTTTTAGTTTGGGTGCCACTGCTGAATTATTTGGTTATTTTGAAGCAGGAAACATGAAAAATGAGCAGTGCCCTCGGCTGGAATCGAACCTGAACCTCTCGAATACACGCCAAACGTGCAACTGTTACACCATGAAGGCATGCAAAAAGAAGGGAGAAAATACCTTATAGAATATAAAACTATAATTATTTTTATGTCTGGATACATATTTATCTGAAATACCATAAGGCTCATCCAAAAATCCAGTGCATCCTTTGATAACCACTGATGTAACACAATAGCATACACTGAAATAAGTAGGCAAACAAATAGACAATTTACTGCACAACACAAATGCTATCTGCTTTGACATAAATTGTCTGTTGATGGACTCTGTTGATAGATGACTATGTTCCAACTTTCTATGGAAACTGGTTTGTATTCACAAATACAAAAACACAAAAGCTCCTAATCACCTATTTCATAACCCACCAGTTCAGCAGACAGGAATCAAACTTTGACTGAGCTACCAATATTCAGTGGTCTTATTTTAGTTGCTCAGAAGTTCACATTTTGAAATTGTGAGATCAATGTATAAAAAATTTATATTGCCTATATTAATCTTTAAAACATAATTATTCCTATGCATCACAAGATTATAAATATATTTTGTAAATAGATGTAAGATTTAAAGGAATTGTCTAAAATATTTTGAAATTTTAATGCAATTACATGCAACAAATATTTTTACAAATAAAGATTATCAGCTACAGCTAGCTCAAAGAGGAATTAGTGGAAACACTACAAATTCTCTTTAATGCAATAAATTAGTCACAAATTTGGTTCTAAAACTGTAATATCATAGTGAGCAAAAATCACAACTTCACTGTTATAAACAGATAATACAATTACTAAACCGAACACAAAAAGAATAATATATAATTCTAAACATACTAACTCTCAACATCTCATAGCTCCCAATAACCTCTTATTTATATCACAGCCAAGGAGAGTCAACACTATCAGAATTATCTAGAAAATCTTATTTCAGAATTTTCTAGAAAATAAGTGCTATGGTCTCAAAAATGCATTTTTTAATATACATTTCCTTTATTTCTAACTTCAGTATGCAACCAAGATGGTAAGAAATTACTAAATTCTGCAATTAGTTGTCATCAGTCTATACTTCAGTTCTTCTTGAGCTACTTTCATTATTACAACCTCTACTTACTCAGAATTATAAACACTGTAAAAGTAAAACTGCATAGTGCAATAAATAAATATAAAATTAACAAAAAATTTACTAAATAACTAAATTAAATCATAAATAAATGGACAAAATAAACCAATATTATTACATAACATTATATAAACAAATAAACACAAACATTTACAGCAATATCATAAACATGTCGAGCAAATTATACCCGGGGATCTGAAGTTGCTACTGGACCCAAATGAGCAAAAATGAGGGGTAGAAGCATAGTGACTACATGTGATGTACCAAATGCACACAGAACATCATTATCTAGAAAAATAACACATTATTCATTAAAAATACACACAAAGAAATAAAACTAATATTCAGTGTTCCTTTAATGAGAGTAAACAAAGTTAATAAAAGCATTTTAACTTCAAGAAACTGTTATGAAATTAAAATCTAAATTTTACACAAAAGCCTTCAAGAAATGTATGAATCAGTATAGCTATAATCAGTATAAATTGAAACAATTATATATCAAACCAATGAAGTCAATGATGTGTTTCTCTATAATTCAAGTTTTGATGAACTAAATAGCAGCATTGCATACATTTCAGAATAACAAATATAATAGGCTTACAGTTTATTTACAGTTAAAAATTAGCGCAAAATCTGTTAGACCTGCTCTCTGAATGTACTTCATTAGTGATTAATATATATATAATCATTTTTAATGCTTACATGAATGCAGAAAAAAACGTGCATTCATGCAAAATACACAAGTATATTTGTTCTTTAATAAATTAACAGAGCCATAAATAAAAGAGTATTTTTCATAAACAAATAATTAGTTGGAATTATTGACATGCAAACAATTTCACAGTCAACTATAAAAATTTTATTGAATATCACAGATGTTAGATCTATAATTTTTTAGCTAAAGCAATAACATAAGCAATTATAAAAAACTGAAATTAACATTAAATACATTCCCTCCGGGCATAAGAATATGAGATCTTGCAGTTTCAATACTAAATTTATAGGAAGGGAAGGATATTTTCCTTCTCTTCTTACACACAAATTAACAAAAAATTTTTTAAAAAAAGGCATGTAAATAAAATTATAAAAATTATATTTACCGTCAACTGACTGCGCTTTTATAAACAGTTTAGCAGCTGTTTTCACAATAGAATTACAAATTGCTAAAGCATTACGCCTAGCCTGTAGCTCAGCTAAATCACGAGAGTTTTGTACACTTTCAGTATCTTGAGGAGTGCTTAAAAAAACAGAAATCCTAGCTTTAATAAAGACATATAATAATAAAAACCTTTACATAATAAGCAAAATAAATACTAAACACTGCACTTACATAAAAAGATATACTTACGAGATTTCCGATTTATAAATAAAAAAATATGAGAATTACAATAAAATACTGAAAAAATATTAAATATATTCTTAATTAAGTGTAATCATATCTTCATAACAGCATTAAAAATACTTTAATTTATGATGGAAAGCATATTCTAAAATGGATATTTAAAAGGAAGGATTGAAACAAAACAGAATTAAAACTTATAGCAAGAGTACAAGCTTGCAACTTTTTTCCCCTTGGAAGAAGAAAAATATTTCATTTCATGAAATAATAATAATCTCTGCACTTAAAGAAGATTTTTATATCTACTTTTAACTGGAAAAAAAAAACTATATGCACTGAAATTGGATTTCTGCCATCTTAACACACATTCGGAATTAATACCTTACTTTTATTGCTATAAACCAAGACGTCCTTTTGTTATTGCTGACAAAGGATCTTAAAATCATTTGTGTTCTCAGACCCAGTACCTTCAATTTAAGGAACAACCAAAAGTTGCATAGAGCTGCATCAAGAAAATCCAAAGCTTCCCAGAGATACAAGACACTTTGACTAAAAATTCCAGATGAGATAAAATACGTACACTGCAGGAATGCTATGACAAAGCCTGCTAATCTTCATAATCTTATGACTTGATATTTCATGAAATAGTGCATTTCATATGTAAAAATTTTCCTAAGATATATTTATCACTGATACTATGATTTTCTAAAGCATAACAAATTACATTTTGGGGAAGGTTGGAAAAGTGACTTTTCTCAACTAACTTCAACACCTTTCAACTTTTAAGAAACCAGTTGTGCATTTTTTTACCTTAATGAGCTTGGCAACTTTCAGTGACAACTGTAATTTCTGAGCTGTACATGTAAATACAAAATTAGATTCATCCTTGATGTTTATTTTTTGAACAAACTCCAGATTTTGATTAAAACTACAGTACACATATATGTTTCTATCAAAATATTATCTACAGCAAGTATGTCAGCAGCTTTAGTGCAAATATTACTGCAATTTAAGACATACCTAAAATTTCAGTCACAGCCACTATCACCAAATGCTAAGTCATTTTTACTTTTTCTTAAGTTGAAATGCACACTTCCCTTCACTAATACGTAATTTGTTTGGCTAGTACTGGTTTTCAGAATGCCAGTTATATAAGAAATGAATCTTCAATTTTCTTATGATTTCATATTGGGTTTTATTAAATTCTGGCATAATTTAGTACAATAACTTTATTATTTATTGATTGTGACCACATGAAAAAATGGTAATAAAAATTGTAATAAAATCATATACTAAGCAGCTAAGAGAAAATTTGTAATCCTATTTGTCAGCTAGGAATTTCCCACCAATTTGCAATAAAAAGTATGATGCTAGACAATTTTCAATGAGACTGTCTATGATGCATAGTAAAACATTCTGCTTATCAAGTTCTTGATCAAAGGTGAGAGTGTGAACTGTTATACATTTTGAAAATTGTGATGGACTTTTCAAAATGCACAATGTGGTGCATTTAACACCACCACTGACTTCTTGCACAGTAATATTCAATCTTGCCACACAACAGATTTTCTGAAGTATCTCCACTCGGAGCTGTTTGAATATCCTTCATACATCCGGATCTCACTCTCAGTTAGTTTTCATCTCTTCTAACAGCCAAAGAAATTCCTCTCTGATCAAGAATTCCAAAGCATTAGAGAGGCAGTTGTCATACATTGGTTCCAATGGCAGGTGACTAACAGAGGGATCCAGCAGTAAGACCTAAAGTATGGCAAATGTCCTTATTTGAGTGGTGATTGTATTGAAAAATTAACAGATACTGTATCTGCTGAAATAAAGCTTTCCATGAAATTATATTATGACTCCAGGAAAAGATACTTTCTAGATGCTTTCTGTATGTTGCACATAGTAGCATTGAATTTCAATTTATTCCTCAAATTCGTTGCTTTGTGAGAACAAAAGATTGACGGACAATCTCAGTAATAACGTACAAATGTAACTGCTTGTTCAGAAAATATACAAACCACTTCCATAAAATATTTTTCCAACCTGCCTAACATTAAACATCGTAATTTCAAAATCATTAAATGTCATAAATTCAAACCTATCTATCATTAAACGTTTACAAACACTCAAAAATAAAAAAAAAAGTAATCATTAACTATGTATTTTTGAATACAGTATTAATTAAGAAAACATAGCAATTTGTGAAAAATATTTTTAAACTCAATCTAGCATTAGTGACATAACTTATATATCTATCATTAAATGTCATACAGTAACATAATTTTTTTTAAACAAAAATCCAAGCAGAATTCATTAAACAAATTATGGATATTCTTAGATAAAATATTGAGAATAAAAAAATATAATTACCTGTAATAAAGAATCTGTGGTATCTGACCTCTTGTATGATTTGTACCATTAAAGCTTAAGGAGCAGTCACTAAAAGTGAAAATACAGCCATCTGGTCCTTTAACTTGAGACATTCCACCATCACCATTATTTGTCCGAGAACCATGGTTTCTTAATCGCACAGCATACTTGACATTTTCCTGATAACAGAAAAAAAAGATGTAAAATGTTACTTTCAGATATTAATACCCATAAGCAAACTATTGTTTTTTTTAGCATACTTTAAATCAAAGGCTGCAATACAATAATACATAATTTAATAAATCTTATCAACATTTTACCTAAAAAAGGAATTGATATCAATTACACAAAGTTCATCTTTAATGTTATTAATACAATGAAAAATGTACTGAAATTTATTTATATTGCAAATTTTATTTTAGAACCGAATTTCATCAAAAATAATACCTTGATTGCAACAGGTCTCTCAAACTTTATTTCAGCAACATCTCCATAACAATCTTCAGGACCAAATGTCCCACGAACAATAGCTAGAGTTTTCCATCTCTGAGTATGAGAAGGATCAGCACTACCACCACTTTGCTAGATATACAAGGTAAGGGATGAGAATAAATTCTTTCAAGATGTAACAGAACTAATATACAAAAGTCAAAAAGATCAGAGGCATATCTGCTCTGCTTTTAGTGATTTTTATGCTTTTTATTATTGTTCAAAAGAAGAACAATTGTATGTAAACAGTTGTCATGAACAGACAAAATAAAGATATATTCTGGACTTCTTAGGAGTATAAAACTAGAACTACAGAGTAGTGTTTTGATTCCCTCGCTTTTATACCTAAACAAAATAAACTAAATACATAAAAGTTGACGTATTCCTAAGTATAATTTTTTGTTGCATATCTGTGCAATGAAATAACTAATTTGTCCCCATTCAATTAGGAAATAAAGACCTAAGCCATCAAAATACATAACTATTATATTATAACTAAAAATATTTTACATACAAAATTTTTTCTATTTTTATATTAAATACTCATTTATTTTATAAGTACAATTTGTTGTATTTTTATATTAAATACTCATTTAGTTTAATTATAAGTCTCAGTGAAAAATATTTTTAAGTGTTAATGCAGATATTCCAAAATAATTATCAAGCAAAACTTTTCTAAATGACAATTTACACTGCATTAAAACTGTTGTAATTGGACATTTAATTAATAGCTTACATCATCCAGCAATTCTAGTTCATAATGCCATTCAGTTCCAACACCTCCATAAACAGTGACACCAGATATCAAAATGCCAGAACGATCAACACTAAAGCAAATTGCATCTGGTGAACCATTCCCAGTGTTCCATGTTCTGTTTTGGCTTACTTTTGTGAAACGTGATGGAGTAACATGCAGTACTTGGCCACTTGTTCCATGCATGTCCAGCTGATAGAAAATTTTAAAAAACATGGTAATTTTTACTTTATAACAAAAAAAAAAAAAAAAAAAGTAACACAAAAATAAAGTATTCAATGCGAAGTGCATAGGATGCTAACTTGTATTAAAATACATGTAAAATTAGTTATATACTTCAAGAAAAAGATATTATTAATTGCACTTTTCTTTTCTTAAGGCTTAAAAAAAGATACAACTGTTTAACATTTCATTAAAAAGTACCAAGCTATTTCACTCAGATTTTAAAATTAATATGCAAAAAGGCCTATTTTCTTTGCTCTTTAGGTGACATTAAAGGTTATTTACATATGACTTAAATACAATTTGATATTAAACTTAATGAAGATATACTTACTACAGTACCAGCTGACTGATAAGATAACTCTGCTACAATAACTGCAATGAATGCACAAGCATTTGTTATCAGTTTAGAAGAGTGTTGGATACTTTCCTAAATAGAAGAGAAAAAATGCTGAAATCAGTAATTACTTACTCTCAAGAACTCTAAAACAAAGAATGTTTAAATCTAATAATATACATACAAAATATGTATAGATACATACATATAGAAAGTTTGTATACATATGCACACACACATACATGCATATTTTAAAATTTACAAGTCTAAAAAGTGTACAAATAAATTTAAGTAAAACAAACAAATTTCTGTTTTCTGAAAATAATTACCTGATATAGCATGGCATCTAAAGGCTGTTTTACAATAGACAGTAAGCGCTCTAACACTTCTCTGAAGCTATGAGGGCCAGGATTACAACCTTCTCGCTATAAAAAAATAAATATATCTTAAAATAACAGTAGATTAACATTATTAATAATATCTTAAATGAATACAAAATCCTATAAGACCTTGCTTAAACTGTAGAGACATTAGGTTAATTGGAAGCAGAAAAGATGAAAAATATGCAACTGCCTTCGCCGGGAATTGAACGACGGACCTCTGGAATACCGGCCCAAGCATGCAGAACCTGTTACACCACAAAAGGCATGCTAGGGAAGCGGGAAGAAATACCTTAGATACTCCCCTTTTTAAACGGTGACTAGGGTTTTTAGAGGACCCTAGTACGCCAAATCCTGGGATGCGGAGGAATCATCATGCCACAACCCTTTTAGTTTGGGCACCACTTGTAGAGTTATTAAGTTAATTGGAAGCAGAAAAGATGAAAAATATGCAACCGAATCGAACCACGGACCTCTGGAATACCGGCCCAGCGTCCTACCATTACACCACGAAGGCACGCTAGGAAAGTGGGAGAAATACCTTATAAAACAAAAGGAATAGAAAAAAAATGTGCACTGATTTTAAAGAATTCAAAGCTCATGATATGTGACTTGACAACAATATGAAATCATTCTAGTTTCTTCATTTAAACCTTGCAGTAAAATTCTATTAATTATTTTTAGGATTTTTTTTATTTCTTTTAATTTAAAAGATTTTACTTGTTATATTTCAAATAACAAATTTATTATTATTTCATAATGTTATAATTTTTTAAATTATGACTTAAATAATTCTTTATCAAACATTTTCCTACAGAACTATTTATACTTTATAGCTTTTTGACCGTTTTAAAAATATCTTTCACAAAAGAATAGCAAATGCTTAACACAATAGCAATTTTAGAATAAAAATGTTAATTGTCTAATTTTTGCAGTTTTCCATGCAATGCAGAGGATAAAACCTGGATTTTGAATCTGGAAATATTAACATAGTATAATAAAATATCTTGCTATTAAGCTAAAAGAAGTTTCAAGCAAGTTGATATTAAAATCTCTTTCTTACCATCAATGTTTTCTCCTCTCATCTTAGTAACATGTTTTCACTGGATATTTAATTTTCTTTAGTCCAAAGAGGCAATTTGCCCTGAAGGACTATTAATTTCATTTTGACATTTTGCATTGAAAACTTTAAAAGGCTGTATCACTTTTCAAATTGTTGCCACCATATATTATCACCCTGTCTTATATTTAAAGAAATTAACCCACTCAGGACAGCACTCGCTCCTGACAGGAGCTGTAACATGCAGACTGTGTTTACAGGATGGGAGCATTTTCTCCTGCTAAGGCTAATACGCAATTTAGGAAAGTAAGCATTACATAATAATGGATAAAATGTACACTTTACATAGAAATGAAACCATTTTTAACTATGTGATTAAAGCTATCATAATTTCATTAATAACAAAGAAATTTAATTAAAATAATATATATTTAACAATAAAAATATAAATATATTGTATTTTACTGTAACTAAAAATACCTAAATTAAACACTAAATGTTGATACAAAATATAAAAAAAAATTTTATTATTTACACTTAACATTATGAAATACTTGAAGAATAAATTAATATTTTGAAGCCGTATGAAAAATATCAAAGCACGGATCAATGCAGAGACCAACATTGCATTATTATCATGCAATAATTTCAAGCATGCATGTCTAATTATTATCATCTTCTAATTCAGAATCTGAAGATTCAGAACTATTATATGAAGAACTCTAATAATTTATAGTTGTTTAACTGTCATTGTCGGAAAGATCCATAGATGCCATGGCTACACAAATGAATCTAAAGTAAAACCCATGCTAGAATATCTCCCATAAAATCCCATCCTAAAATAGAATCAAAATTATAAACAACCACTTCAAAATGAGCTAAAAGGCCAGGTGTTTCCCTTTTCACCAGTTAGCATGTGTTTATGTTTAAAATCTAATAAATCACAGACACTTGATGACCCCATTCTGACCTCAGAGAGAGAAATTCTAATGTATGAGAGTAATCTTTTGAATGAAACATGGATTAGTAATTAGTAAATATTTCATTCCAAAAATATGAGGCAATTGTGCGGAGAATCCTCCCGCTGCGCAGGATTCTCCATAAAGCAAGGATGCCGCAAGCTCTGAAGACCATCTAGCGCTGGCACTTATTTGTGGCGTTTGTCCCAAAAGGGTTAAATAATGAAGAATCTACATAAATGTATATGTTTCTCGCATTGTGATAAAACAACAGTAACTAGAGCCATCAAAATTTGAATAACGTAATCTTCCATAGAATATGGGCATGTGGGAACCCAAATTTGAATTTGAAATTTGTTTTATTATCAATTTCAGATTTTGTAGCATTTCAATGAATTTTTGATTTAAAAGTAAATGATTTCAAAGTGAGCAATGCCAACACTGTAAGAAAAATCATTTTTATCTCTAGCGCGCGAGACTCTGTATTGGAAATTCTAAAGATATGTTCATTTTAAGATTAATTTGTGATATTGCTGTTGAACTGAATTTTATAGTTTGAGTACATAGAAAATGATATTTAATAAATAAAGGTAACACACAAAATGTTAAAAAAATGCCCCTTTGGACGTAATTTAAAATCTGAAACTTTTTAGCATTTTTTCCCCCTCCTTTTTTGAAAACAAAAATTTCTTTTCATTACAGGGGGAAAAAAGACAAGTTTTATGTCTATCATTATACATAAGTATAAAATTATTTAACGAACATTAAAATAGAAGCTTGCAAGTCATGTTAGTTTTGTTGTGGTAATTAGCATATACACAAATAACAACAACAACAATTATAATGATAATAATTTAACACTGTGATCATGTACATGTGTACAAAGATATAAATTACCTCAGTCCTTAAAGTGACATAATCAACAAGAACAGGGTATCGATGGACTTCAGACCCACATATTCCTGGTGACATTTCTTGTGTATGCCCATTAGAAGCTCCAGGGCTTAAATCGGGATTCGGCTCAGGAGTAATTGGTGAAGAATCACTTAGTAGATCAGTTTCTAATGTTACAGGCAAAGTTGAGGTCAATCTAATAGAAGATGCACATAAGGATGCTAACATAGCAGCTAGAAGGTGATCACCTTCAACTGTTTCTTCAACCCAGGGCTGAAATGTTAACATATATTTTATTGTGATACATATTTATGTAGCCAGAAAATTAAAATATAGCTTTATGAAGAGAGTGATGCATAAACTCACCACATTGATTGTTAATAACAAGTCACATAGTCCTTTCCATTTCAGCTGTGAACTGGGATAAAATGCATGATAACAAGCTAAAAACGTTTCATGACATTCTTCCAAAACTGCATGCAAGTAATTTACAAGCAAAGCTGATGTAGAGGATGATGTTGGAATCCCTGAAAATGGTGATTTTACTTGTGCAGTTGGCAATCTATCAGAGAGAATATGTTGAAGTAAAGCTCGTACATCTGCGACACATTCCGCTAATTTTGGGACTTCAGGAGGCACTTTCTTAGAAACAGCTAAATGAAATAATAAGACTATTATAAATAAAAAATAAATTTTTAAGCTCACAAATTGTGCTAACTTACAAAATATTTGCAATGAAGAATAGATTTGGAAGAGGTAGATGTTTTCTAAAACACAAGAGTTTAACAACAGAATTTAAATGAATTAAAAATATATATATAACAAAAATCATATCCAAATCATTAAGTATACAAAAATATATTTTTAAAGAATATTTTTTCCATTAAAAATGCTATGCTTTATTTAAAAACACATACATATATTACAGAAAATTTATTTTATCATGAAACATAAGCGACAAATTATTTAAAAGAATTAAAGACATGATAATTGGGAGGCTCTATGATTGTCAGCTTTTCATGATCTCATCATTTTTATCTTTAATTTAAATGAAAATTTAAATTTGCATAAGCTAGAGTAATTTTAATTAATAATGTACAGTATTTTACAAATATCACATAAATTTCAAATTGTATTGAAAATTTGATTAATTTACTTTATACGTATTAAGTTGTGAAAATAATGAATCATCAACATGATTCATTATTTTCACAACTTTTTTTAATAACTAGCACATCTTCTATAAGAATTTGCTTCTTACTCACTATTCACTAAAATATATTTCAATCTATATTTCATGAACTTGTATCTCAAGCAAATTCCACTCTTTCATTAATATAATTTTTTAACTCTTAATGAATTCCTTCATTTAGAAAAACAGATTTGTATTTCAGTTTTTAAAAAAAAAAAAAAAAAAAAAAAAAAAAAGATACAAATCTGTTTGTTAATAATATAATAAACTTTATATACATATAGGATAATATCCTTTATAAATGTCAAAGCACACCAAGAAGTAATAAAATGATTGCAAATAGAATTCATACACAACTAGTTAAATATCACTTTTATATTTAATTCAAATTAATCAATTTCAATAACAGAAAGTTCTTGCTTTTTCCACTCCTTTTCCATTTCATATATAGATAAAAAATTTGGAAGTTATTAAAATCTAAAAAAATATATTAATATCTTGGTAATTATTATTATATATTATTATTATATATTAATATCTGGTCAAAAAATTATCTATAATAACAATTTTTTTAATGTTTTACTCCTAACTTTGCTTCAATGTTCTGTTTAATACTACAAAATTTATATTAAAGTACTTCCAAACAAAATGTCTTGAACTAATTCTAAAGACGTATATAAGCCACACAGTGTTTTCAAAGTCCAATTGCATACAAAAGAAAAAAAAAAAAAAAAAAAAAAAAAAAAACTTACAATAAAAGAAATTAAATACAAAAGATAGACTTGGCTAAGACATGCATTACAGTCACATTACATCTTGGAACATCATCAGCTCCTGATAGAAAAAAGCCTGGAAGCAAATGAAATTCACTTAAAGGACACTGAGGGGTACAAAGCAGGACTGCAAAAATGCAGACAAGTTCAGTTTCGGTTTATCTCATTATGGCAAAGCATACTTGGGCTATCTGCCTAAGAGAAGGAATGCCTTCACGGAGGTCTTTCTTAGGCAACTGATTCGTATACATGTTGCACATGGGGAAAAACACCCATACAGCCAACCTGTTCGCCTGGAATCAAACCCAGGTTGGGACTACCAGTGTTCAGTGACTTTAAGCTCAGCCACTGGTAGGCGACAAGGAAATAGAAGAACATAATGTAGAGAATGAAAGGCAAGTCAGAGGGTATAATGTGTTAACTTGGCATGAAAGAGAAAATAATGCTGAATAAATGCACTGCCAATAATATAATGTCATGCATAACGTGCGATTTAATCCTAATTTCTGTGCCACTGTCTTCACACAAATGGAACATATGTACTTGTATGAAGCTCATAATTAACCTAATACTATATGCTAATCTCTAATCTGATTCAGTCTAGTTTCTTTCAGGGTAGATTATTCTAATAATCTGTACAAAGATTGAATATTAAAATTAATCACAGAATTTTCCCTTACATCTGATAAACAAAATTTGATTTGCAGAAGAAATAAGTATTCTTCCATAGATGATATTTTTAAATTTCACAATTATTAATTTCTAATTAGAGTTAAATCTTGATACATAAATTTAATTTATTCCTGACGGCCATTTGAAACTATTTTTCCCCAATGGAATTCATGTAAAATGGATTAATCCCCTTTTTCGACTATAGATGACTGCTTATAGAAAACTTGTAACAGCATTTTGTACACATAAAACCATTGAAAATCTATAAAACAACAAAGCCCCCCTCAAAATGAATACAATATTAAACAGATAAAATATATAAAATTTAATTTTATCTTACAGCCCTACAAGGAAGAGCAAATAGCATAAATAGTGAGGGGAAAATATTACTGTTTGGATAAAAAAATCCTTTTCTATAAAACATTCAGGTAACTAACTGTCTTGATGGGTCATTTTCTTTTAGCTTTTCTTTATTCCTTAGCATCATTTCATTCTGCTTGAGACTCAGTGGGCCTCCATTTCACTCAAAATTTATCCAATGTGATCTGTTGTTTTAAAATGTTTCTACAATAAAACATGGCATTGTGATTAAAAAAGCTTTGCTGTGGCTTGCTACTGTTTTATCAGTGTGATTTTATTAGAAGAAATTTTACTGCACAAAAAATTCCATTTTGCCCAAATTTTGCACAATATTGTGGACCAAAGAACTATGTTCCTCGTTTATATGTTCCTCTTCTTCTGAAAACATTCATTCTGCAAGTACTTTTTGTTGTTGCTTCTAAAGCAGTTATTCCAGTTCTTGAGCTTTTTTTTTTGTTGTTGTTGTTGTTGTTGTTGTTGTTGTTCTCTACTTAACCCCTTTACATCTTCATTTTACCTGGAGACACAATATCATAGAATCATAGATAAACAAAAAATTCTCACTGTCAGAGTCCTCAAAAATCTTTCCCGGCAACACAAGGTTGTCTTAATTTCCTCGAGGCTTAATTCACTGCCCTGTATGTTATTTGCTGCCAAATTTTGTTAATGAGAACCAAGCAATGAAAAATAATAAAACAGTGCTTCTTGAAGTCGCTGAGGTGTTTTAATGGTATGTCAGAGGTTATCCCAAAATCTCTCTGAAAGTCAACTGCCATTCATTGGATGTTCATAATTTCAGATACGTCCATCTCCTGAGTTCCCCCCTTTCTATTTATACAATTTGTTCATTAGATTTTTTTGTGATGAGGAGCGTTTTGTTTCAATGTTGCACTGAATTAAAGGGAAACTCTACATATAACAACAGATGTTTACAATCCTATGAACTATTCTTTATTTAATCAATGCACAAGAAATAAAACAAAACAAAAAAAAAAAAAAAAAAAAAAAAAACCTCAGCTCTGAGAACAAACTTACAAACCCTTTAAATAAAATAAATTTACACTGTAACTCAATTTGTCAATGCCCGAAATTCACACACGGAACACGTAATTTCTATTTAAGAAGTTAGTCCTGTCTACCCTTGACATAATATCTATTATTGCATAAAATCAGTTTTATAATTAACTGTAGAAAGAATTAACAATAGAAATCAGAATATCTTTCTACATCACACCTTAAAACATCAATTACTTCCGCAGTTAAATCTAATGATTTTTTGAATGATATATAAATCTAATATGTTTCTGATGTTATTAAAAGTATAGTTAACAATAATTTGTTCATAATATGGTACACAGTCTATTTTACACAATAATAAAGCTTAACAAATTTTTATCACATGAAGTTCTTAACTGTTTTTTTCAGTTATTTACAATACCTTAAAATTTGACAACAATTTCAACGATGATTTGACAGTTTTCAGCCTATGACTACAAAAAGAAATTTTTATAATTATAATATAAGACGTCATTTAAAAAATAATGATTAAAAAAAAAAAAAAAAAGGAATTTTTATAGTATGCATATAACGTTAAAAGAAATACTTTTTAGTTAACTAGATTAAACAATTTTCTCTCAAAAAAATATGCATACAGTTAAAATAATAACAACAATAATTTTTATTTCATATTTCATAATAAATTAATAACATTAACTTTTTTCTTATTAGAAACAAGAGTTTGTACATATATTTTTTATAAACAACTAAAGTTTATTTGGTTTATTTGATTATGGCAAAGCACTCAAGGGCTATGTGACTAAGTGCAGGGATGCCTTCGTGGAGGACTTTCTAAGGGCAACCGATACGTATACACATTACACATGGTATAAGCCATTAAGAATTGGAAGTAAAATTAAATCAAAATGCTTTTAAATTATTAAATGTAAATTAAAAACTTTCACTCTAAATTCTTCAAATACAATGAAATTACTCTGTGTGCTATTAGTGAAGGGAGAAAATACTCACAACTATTGGGGTATATTTCATTGATATAAATTTTTAACAAATGCAGACTTGAGGTGCATATGTATTCTAGTCTCTCCAAGTCCAAAAGTGCAGCAACAGCAGGCATCGTTGATCCTAAAATAGCTTCACAATATCCAGCTTTGAAGGACTGCCATGCCCACCTCAATAACCTCAACAAGGAATGGAAACAATCCTAAAACATTCATAAAAATATGAATAATCATTCAAAAACATACAAATACTAATGGTATATTGGTTACTGAATAATGGGAATAAGGTAAGGTACCTCAGGGTGCTTACAATAAATCACCAGTAATGGCAACTTTATTACCCTACAATTTGACAACTCTCAATTTTTCTGCAAGTTTGCTCGAAGTGTGCCTCTTACCTTTTATGCCTTAGCTTCTCGGGTTCTATCTTTCATTACAGTGATGTTGAGTCTCAGAGAGGGCACTGCTGATTTTTCATATGTCCAGCATCGTGTACATACATTTTGACTTTTGGAAGTATCAGTTGTTCAACTTTTCAAGGAGAGTCTTCCCTCAGTATGATTTGTGTACACTAATAATACCAGAAATCTGTGATCTCAGAAAGTCCTCTCAATTGGTTGATGGTAGAGGTTTAGATGCTACCCCATAGCCATCACTAGCAACTTATTGAAAATGTACCAAAAAGTACAAATTAATGATGAAGATCACGATTTCCAAAAAATATTGTGGAGAGATGATCCATCAAAGCCGATTAAAACTTACAGGTTGTGCAAAGTTACGTACGTCACTACTTCGGCTTTATACCTGGCTACTCGTGTACTCAAACAACTAACAATTGACGAAGGAGCTAAATTCCCAAAGCAGTTGACATAATATTAAATAATTGTTATATTGATGATGTCCTAGTTGGTTCAGACACGGTAGAGAACATGGTAAAGTTAATTTCACCCTATTTGCTCATCTGCTTTTTTATATTTTATCCATAAACATATTTAATGATTTTCAATTTGCCGTCAACAGAAAATAATGCTGTTCTGTTCTTCCAAGAAAAAGAAATTCTAGCACCAATTAAACTTTATGATAACAATCATGGAACGAAACTACAATGAACTTACATAGTGTTTTACAGTTAAACAATATTTAAAAATAGAGAGCATCCATGGCAGAAACTGGTTTCATGGATCAAAAATTCCTTTTTTCAGCTGCATTATGATCAGAAATATTGATATCAATCAAGCAGTGTGATTAAATAATTAAATATTTGGTTAGTAATATAATATGTGATAATTTTATGGGGAAGGCTTGATCATAACATCTAATCAAATATACTAAAAGATAAATTGAAGAATTCAATAAAACTGTCAAAATCAATAAGTGTCTTTTGACACAAACCAAAAACTATAACAGAAGAATCTTATATAAACAATGATATGAGAGGCCTACATAATAAAACCTGACAGTGCTTTCTAGCTAAATTCCTAACAATTTTGCAATACAGGTACCCTACCAATACCATTAGAGATTTCTAGAAAATACTGTGTTTTGTGAAACCATGTTATATGAAACTAACAGTCAATACAAAATGGAGGATAAGTTCCAAAAATGTTTAAAAACAAAAAACTTTTTTAAAGGTTCTCATTGTTGCCTCATCTAAATTTAGGTGTTTTTCAATGTGGGATGCCTTTTCTCCTTTTAACAAATAATTAAAATTTGTGTTTTCATCTCTAAAGAAAGAAATTTTCTCTTAAAAGTTGTATTCTTACTTTCAGACAAAGTCTGTGACTGAAATATATTTTGACAATCACAATTTATGCCAATGATCTCAAACTGGCAAGAAACAGGCCACATGCAGGTCCCACAACAATTTTATGAAGCCCCTGAGTATACTTTAGTTATATATATGTTCTAAATATAGTGCGAAAAGTTTGCAGATGGATAAGGTTATTGAAACAATAAACTGAAATACTGAATTTTATATGCGAACAAGTTCTAAATCATCAAGTTTGTGTCATTACTTAAAGAAATTGAAAGTGAATATAGAGAAATTAATATAATTTAGTGAGGTAGTTACATTTAGGAGCTGTATTAATACAGTTTTTTAATCAATAAATGAAATAAAAATTTTCATGACACAAAAATAAATGATTAAAAAATAAATAAAACTATTGCTGAGCTACACAACGATACATGGATAACAGATCTAGCATGTTTGCTGACTTAACCAGACATTTAAACATTCTCAATAAAGAGCTGCAAGGAGAGAATAAACTTATCGTATGCTAACCGTATGCTTTTATTATTATATTATTTATATTAAACTAACCATATGCTTGTATTAAACTTCTTAATGTTAAACTAGATTTATGGGAAACACAGCCTGAATAAAAGTATTCCGTAAATTTCCTACATCTCACATACTGTTCTATTATTTCAAATGAAAAATACCAAATCTATGCATGAAAAATAGCATTATTACAACAAGAATTTAAAGGGAGGAAGAAGAATTAATTTAACTGGTAGTTCATTTACTTCTTAATGCTTTTTTTCATACTTAAATAAAAATTTTCATGACACAAGAAAAATCATTTAAAATATAATTTAAATGAGCTACACACTATATGTTGATATAACAGATCTGGTTATGTGACAGAATTTAATAAAAAAGAAATCAAAAGGCTGGAAGAGAACTTAGATATGCTAAAGGTATAGATTATTATTTATATATATTATTAGAGTAATATAAACTTGTGTAAATTCTTCTTTATGTAAACTAAAAGAAACACTAAATGCACAAGTGAGAAAGTCTTCTGAATGAAATTAAATTTGGAAAAGAAAAATAATTATTACTAATATCTATTATTTTCTATGAAGACATTTTTATTAGAATGCATTAAAATTACAGGTGGGGGGGGGCGGGGGGGGGGGGGGGGGGGGGAGGGGGGGGGGGGGGGGGGGGGGAAGGGGGGGGGGGGGGGGGGGGGGGGGGAGGGGGGGGGGGTGCTAAACAAAATTAAACAAATTGAGAAGAATTAATATAATTAATAGTTTTTAACCAATAAAAATAGCTTTTATTAACTTAAAAAAGTGTTAACATTTTGCTTAATACTGGTTTAAATTTAAACCACAGTAGTGTGCGTTATAAGTTTGGGTGGGACTAAAAAAAAATTCCGTTTCTTAAAACAAAATTGTTTTATTTGATTAAATTAAAACAATGAAAAATTTAATTAAATATGATTTAAAATTATTTTTAAACAAAAATTTAATTCTATAATATTACTGAATTATTTTTGATTAAGCTTTTATAGCATGGAAGTTGTAGGGGTATTCGTGGTTTTAGCAGGGATATAATTGAAATCTTATTACCAGGAAATAAAACTAAGATTAACAGTAAAAGTTCAATGGTTTTGCCCACCCTGCCACAATGATGGGGTAAGAGGAATTGCTTGATATGTATACCAAGATACCAAAAGTAAATTCAAATGTTCAAGAATGAATATATTAATTTATAACTGAAAGAAATGATTAGAAACCAGGATATATTATGTATTTAACAATTTCTCCTTAAATTGCAAAACAAATTTTAGAAATAAACAAATGATGTTTTAGAACTGTTAAAAACTGAACAAAATCACAAGAAGCAATTCATTGTCAAACATAATTTCTTTTAATCTTTTAAAAATTAGTAGAACTTTGAATCATCCATGTTACATAAATATTTGAATTAAGCTTACATTTTGAATGACTGCATTATTTTAAATTTTTCACACAAATATAAAAACACATTACAGAACAATTATGCTTAACAGCCAATTTAGAAATAATAGCAATTATTGTTCAACTCATACCATAAACAGTCATTTATACTATAAGGTATTTCTCCCACTTCCCTAGCGTGCCTTTGTGGTATAACGGTAGCATGGTGGGCCAGTATTCCAAAAGTCCGTGGTTCGATTCCCGGCGAAGGCAGTTGTATATTTTTCATCTTTTCTGCTTCCAATTAACCTAATGACTCTACAAGTGGCGCCCGAACTAAAAGGGTTGTGGATGATGATTCTCCGCACCCAGGATTTGGTGACTAGGTCCTCTAAAACCCTAGTCGCCCTTTAAAAAAGGAGAGTATATAAGGTATTTCTCCCACTTCCCTAGCGTGCCTTTGTGGTGTAACGGTAGCACGCTGGGCCGGTATTCCAGAGGTCCATGGTTCGATTCCCAGCGAAGGCAGTTGCATATTTTTCATCTTTTCTGCTTCCAATTAACCTAATGACTCTACAATACTTGTATTTCACACTTCTTATATTTTCAAATATTTAATGAATTACCTATACAATAGCTGAGGTATTTGGCCGGCATTAACATCAGTTCCATTGTTGCTTTTCTTTGAACTTTTAAAATAAAATACTATTCTGAAAAGAAAAAGACAAATTATATTGCAAATGACAAATTCATGGCCAAATCATGAAAATAATTATCAAGAATACAATAATTAATCTTACTGATCTTCAGTAGTGACAACAGATTGTCCACTTGAGCCACAGTCACTGCTAGGCCCAGATATTCTAGCCCATGCAACATACCATCTATTTGCAGATAACTGAATAGGTTCATCAAACAGCATAGGATACTTGTGGCTAGAAAACAAAATTTTAAAATGTAACAAGAAGAAGAATTTTGAAATATATTCAGAAATGCTTACAACTGAAATTTTTTATAGCATCAGTTATAAAACAAAGTACATACTAGTATTTAAAAGCTTAAAAAATGAGCTACCGTGTATGATGCAAACAATAAGATATTAAAGCAACATACTTTTTGGTAAAGATAACAAGTAGCACCATAATGAAGGTGGAAAATTCAGTATTACGTTAGCTATTCACATAACATACATTATAGGATTCAAGAAACTAGACTGTCAAGCAAGTCATCATTTCATCTGTAAAATTATGACAAAATCTTATGAAGATTTAAATAAACCTCTAGGCTTGAACTTAACATAAGACACAACTTGTGCATACATTCAGACTCTGCTGTTTGTAGGCAATTAAATAACAGAAAATTGATTTCTAAATTGAATTCATAGTCTGAGATTACATAATTTGGCCTAAAAGCTTGGCTCAAAATGTAATGGTACAATTTAATTTCGGCTAGCAAAATGGCTAATATTACAATACTAATGTAGCAGAGCTAGGCTAAAGCTGTGAGCAACACTGCCAGAAGCTCTTTTTAAAACATTCAAAGCCTTTGTTTTAATTCATTTGCTTCCTAATAAATGCTAATAAGATGGAGAAGTTATGGTACATATCCAAATCGTAAAAATGGGTTAATTGATACTTTTCCGTTTCGCCGGCGCAAATCTCCGCAAGCAGACTGTGTTGGCGACAGCATACAGTATACACATAAAAAATGTTAACAAATGTTAGTTCTAAGAATTTTTTTATTTTGAAGGCATAAATATTTTAATGTGGTTTAAAATTTTGTAAAAAGCCAGTAAATAAAGACAATAAATTTGTAAAAAGACACTAATTTAAAATTTACTATGCTTTCATGGTTCAACATCCTGATTCGCCGGTTCATATCACGTGACCCCAAGTGATCTCATCTCACATAAACTATGCTACAAAAAACTAATTCTCTCAGTAATCATCTACATTAATTTCAAGTTAAATCTTAACTTGGAATAACTAGCTTAAATGCAAGAATTATTTTAATTCGTACAAATAGCTTACTCAGAAATTATGTAAAACTGCATTGCTTTACTTCGCTAGTGCATTCTCATTAGAATTGATGAATTTAACCCTTGATTTCGCCTTCGGGAGAGCAGTGTGATTGCATCCTAATTGACTTAATTACCGCGAATGGTCTTAGGGCATAAGATTTAACTATATAGGTTAAAAATTATATGTAATTGTATGCCAGTATTGAAAGAAAGAAATCCGATAAGAAATGGCTGCGATTTGTTTTGAAAATGAAGCGTAAAAGATTACCAGAGAAGATATTCCGTTTGGCATCAGTCGTACCATTATTGGCGATTTTATCGTTTGTGCTGGCAAAGTGGAAAAGTACCAGTTAATTAAAATAAAATGTATTTTCCAATATTACTCTTAATTAAAAGGGCATTATTATTATTATTACATCAAACTAAATGATGAGATATACAGCAACAGTAAGATTATTTTAAAAGGAACATATCAGTTATAAAATAATCCCTTTGAAAAGTAACTGAAATGGTATTTTATTTAACACTATTCATTTAAGAATACTATAATAAATGTTTAAAAGCAGCAAATTGTTTTTCCTAGATGGATATTTGTCAATGCAACAAGGAAAATGCTTTACAAAATGCAATATACTTTTTCCACACATTATTCAGTTTCAGTATAATAATATTAATACTTTCTATCATTGCAACAGTCATTCAAGGATTTCTTTTGTCAAAATAAGAGAACTGTATCCATTTAAAAATCCAAGAATGCTAAATTTAAATCTACAGTAGAGTTCCGCAAACTCAACATAATGGGGACTAAAAGACTGTCGAGTTTTCGAAAAGTCAAGTTTCACAGAATAAGGGATGCGTTTTTCAGAACTCTTAGTATTTAACTGTAAATTACTCTAGACATTTGTAGCCCAATATTGGACATGGAAAAGTACAGCATACAACTAAATTAATGTTGATTTTTTTACATCAAGTTCTAGCACAATAGGAGTCATAAAAAGAACAAATACTCTACAATAATTCAGTAAAAAACTTACATACAAAAATGAAGAAAATTATTATTAGTTCTTGGTAGAAAAATATTGTATAATGGTAGACTGTCTCTGACACGCATTTCGCCATTGTGTATCAACATCCCCTAGGTGACAGAGGAATAAAATGTCTATATCAGATGCACCCTGCTCCTCCATGTAACACAGCATTCCTTCAGCGGCATTCAGTCCTTCACTATGACTCATCATTTTAGCTTTACTGTTGTCTTCAATCTCTTTGTTTTCTAATTCATCTTCATTTTTATCCACATTGTCTTGTATATCTCCAGATATACCCTCCTTTTCAATTTGTGGAAATTATCCTTGAATACTGCAGCAGTTTGCAAGTTAGCAGATAGCTTTTTCTCCACAAACATTTAACTACCTGATGCCGTACCATTTTTTCCATCTGTCAAGTCAGCCAACACTAGCAATACAACTAGGCTCTCGTTCTTGAAATTCATCATAAAACTTTAGGGCTTCCTATTGTAAAATTGGTTCTGAAATGGATGTTCCCTGTTCCCTTTGCTGCCTGAAACCCCAAATAAAGCACTTCACTCACTTTTTGTATTCACCACCTTTAATACTTTTTCTTTCCTTTAAACTATGCATACATGCTTTTTTCATACATCTAAGACTAGATTCTGGACTTCTTCTTTTTCTACCCTATCAAAGTAGACTGTAGAACACCTAAATCCACGATAATTTTGTTTACACTTTCCTCTTTGTCAGTCTCTTTTAAGGCATCTGGTTTCATTTCCATTGCCACGTTAGTTTGTTTTCTTTTCTTTTTGAATAACATTTTCACTTCACAGGTTATAAAAAGTTCCCAAAAATATGTAAACACTTATATGCCTAGATATGAATTGAGGAACGATAGCCGCAATGAACTGGTGTGAGTTTAGTTTGCAATAAAATGCAGTCACAAAACTTCAGACAAGTCACCTAACGTTTTGCAACAATAGAAAGGAATATGAGCCAGTGGCCAGCTGCCAACTGCTACCTGACTTTCTTTGTATTCTCGAAAGAAGCAAACAGCACTGCCAAGTATTACAACATATCTTGAAATTTTTTAGGCAATTCCAAGAATTAATGGCAGAATGCAAAAACAGCAAAAATTAGTGAAAAAGAACATTCAAATTATTGAACAGAACAGGAAAGACATACACATAAATACGAGGGCCATCCAGGAAGTAGATTACGTTTCCGTCTGTGTCCGCTAGGGGCGGGGCTAGCGCGGCCATCTTGGGGTCAGAGCGTTGCGCAGCTCAGTCTGCATCTAGCCGTGCTAGTGAGAGGTTCGTGCTGTGCTCCGTTCAGATACTGTGACGGTTTGAAATGTCTGCGTTAATTGAAAATCCCGCGAGGTGCGCTCAGTAATAAGGTTTCTGACTGCAAAAAACTGTAAACCGATAGAAATCTATCGGCAGCTTCGTGAAGTGTATGGGGACAACATTATCACTGAAGGTGGAGTGCGTCAGTGGGTCATAAGATTTCAAAATGGCCGAACCAATGTTCACGACGAAGATCGAAGTGGGAGACCCCAGCATAGTGACCGCCGAACTTCTCGAAAAAGTCGATGCTAAAGTCCGTGAAAATCGAAATTTCACAATAACGGAACTTTCTTTGAGTTTTCCACAAATTTCGCGAAGTTTGTTGCACGAAATCATCAGCGAAAAGCTTGGTTACCACAAGTTTTGTGCAAGATGGATTCCAAAAATCTTGACAGAGGACCACAAAAATCAGCGAATGGCTGCAGCGTTGAACTTTTTGGACGCTTACCATAAGGATGGTGACTCTTTACTCGATCGCATCGTTACTGGTGACGAAACATGGGTGGTGAAACATGTGAACTGTGAAACGAAATTGCAATCAATGCAGTGGGGGCACACAAGTTCTCCCCAAAAACCCAAGAAATGCATGCAAACAATGTCGGCAAGGAAGATGATGGCGACTGTTTTTTTGGGACAGAAAAGGTGTAATTTTGGTGGACTTCCTGGAAAGAGGCACTACAATAAACTCTCAAAGGTATTGCCAAACTCTCCAAAAACTCAGAAGAGCAATTCAAAACAAGCGCAGAGGAATGTTGAGCTCTAAGATCTTGTTGATTCACGACAACGCCCGGCCCCACACGGCAAATGTCACTCGTAAAGTTCTTGAATCTTTTAAGTGGGAGTTGTTTCCTCATCCGCCGTACAGTCCCGACCTGGCACCGAGCGACTTCCACCTATTCCCAGCAATGAAGAAGTGGCTGGCTATGCAGCGTTTTGATGACGACGCACAGCTGCAAGAAGAGGTAACGAAGTGGTTGAAGGCGCAGGCGGCCGAATTTTTCGACGAAGGAATTTCCAAGCTCGTACATCGCTACGATAAATGCCTTAATTTGTATGGTGACTATGTAGAAAAGTAGTATTTGAGTGTGGCTTTCATCTGTATATAATAAAATTTGTTTCCTATACTTTGTTTATTTTTTTATTCCAAAACGTAATCTACTTTCTGGATAGCCCTCGTAATAATTATATGTGTTGTATGTAATATTTGCTCTGTTTGGCCTAGTGATATCTTAAAAAAGTTTCTAGTCCTTAAAAATGTTGTGAAGTTATATGGAATGTCGTGATATCGGGAGTTGAGTTTACGGGACTCTACTGTATTCGAATTCAGATTACCTCTAAAAAAAGGAATATTTATATAGAAAATATGGTTTTAAGTTTCATTAAAATCCTTACCTGTGATAGAATTGTAAATTAAAAAACTTTGAATAAAATTATTTTACTAAGGACAGAAACTTTATTAGAACTTCTAATATTCCAAAACTAACAGACACAAAACAAAATGTGTCAATTTACCATCAGTTCATAATTAATGAAACACCATTTTCAGAACAATAAAGAACTAATGCAGCATTCCGAGGACCTCAAATAACTAAAAAGTGAAGTAGCATTAAAAAATCAAGACTACAAATAAACTCTGAACTATGCTAGAGTTAGAAATGCATATATTTTGTGTCTGGATATAAGTTTTTATTTCCCCAAAATTTAACAATTAATAGAGTACCAGGGGTGCTTGCAATCCCATTTCAAAAATCCTGAAAACTACCACAGTAAAAAAATCTGTCATACTTTTAAATAATTTAGAATATTAATGTGATACACATACATATATGCAAATACTCATATTTTCAAACAGCTTCATTAGGCATTAATTAAATTGGCAGTAGTAATTAAAAATGAAAATGATCCAAGCACAAGTGGTTATTTGTTACAAACAGCAATTTTCAATTAGCAAAGCAAAAAGCATGATTTAACTTACTATTTATTACATGTTAATTTTTGTTTCACTACACAGCAAAACATATCAATGCCAATCTGAGTTTTTTAAACTATGGTGCATTGTGCTATTTTAATGGTGCAATTTTTACACAAGATACTTAAATGAATGTAAAATAGCATCCCTTTGGCATTCGAGTTAAATTGGCAGTGGTAATTACAATATGGCCATATACTAGTTACTGCTCTGGAGTTAATGTAAAAATAAGTAGTAGACTTTCAAAGAATTTAGCTTGATGAATTATAGCATCATTTCAATTCACCTCTTCCCTTATCTTATACTAAAAAAGTAAAGCACATAAAGCTTAAACCTGAACACATTGATTCACATTCACATTGTGAATAACAATTAGTTAAGAGTATAAATAGCCACTTCCTATTTTTACATATTTTTTTTTAAGCCCAACCCTGTAATAATGGGCAAATGATCAGGAATAGAAAAATCAAAGAGCAAATGGTTAGTACAAGACATTAACACAAGCAGTACTTTTAGGCTTAATACTGAATCTCATGAAACATCCAGAAAATGAAATGTTACAGCGACAAGAAGGTAAAATAAATATTATTTGGAATATGGTTGGAAGCAGTAACTACATATCCATTTACTTTAGGTATTTTATGACTTTCAATACAGCTTTTCATCTTAGCTCCAGAAGCATTTACTTCTTTCTTAAAAACTCTAAGAAGTGAGTTTCATTGGTTGAAAATTCTATATAAGCATTTTTCTAAAGATAACCAGTGTGTACTTATTATTTCAGTATTATGCAGTTGTTAGAATTATTTCAGTTTTTCCTTCCTTTCAGAGTTCTCCTCAAAATAATAATAAATATCAACAATTAGTTCATCCACACTTATTGGTAATGAATCTGCCCCTTTTTCAGCTGCTAAATTTAAGAAGTGACAGGTGCACCTCATAATTTGAAAATCTGAATTTTTTATTTAAGATGCTTGCAACACCAGTCTTCAAGCCTACCATTACTGGTGCACTAACAGCACCAAGTGCTAAGTAATTATCCAAAGAAATTGCATTTTCTTTTAAAGTTTTAACAATTAGCTATGCTGTGTTAAAGCCTATAAAATTTCTTTCCAAAGAGAAGACAGAAAGTAAATTACACTCAAATTCTGAAGATCCAGATTAAAGAAATAAGAATTGGATACAGTTTTGCATTCATATTATTGCTTTCATCCATAGAGAGGCAGAATGAAGCTCTTTTAATGCAATCAATAAATGAAGAATTATTTCACACACATTTCTTTAACAATTGCAGATGCTTTTGTCCTTGCACTTGACTATTTCTTAGCGATTTTGCTATCGAGAAGCAGTTTTCTAAATAAAATTGCAGCACGATCTGATGCACTCAATCACAGGTTGTGCCCCAGTTAAAAGGCAGAGAACAGGCATTCTGCATTAAAAACTTTTTGGTCCTTTGTTTTCACAGAAAAATCTAATTTTTTTGGTTCATCCGCCCCCCAAATACATATGACAAAAACATTTAAATGAAACTCTAACTTTTATCTGTAATGGTCCCTTGAGTTTCTAATTTAATTTAGATGTTTCCATTTCCCATCCTTTTTCTAATGCTGCATGAAGTAAATAATTCAGAAGTCAAAATTTAAATAACTAAAACCTTTCTCCTTATGGAGTAATTCTCCACATTGGATGATGCACTTGCTTCCCTCTTTTTCTACTAGTTAGATGCTCTACACTGCTGTCTCCAAAATGTAAATTCTGTAACAGGCCCACTTATCGCAGCCAGTTTCGTTATACTGACTTATTGGTCAACAAAACAAAAAGAATATTTAAATTTGCCATGACTGCAAGCAGCTTCTTTATGAATCTACAGCATACAATATGACTTCAAGTATTTTGATAGTATGCTTGTTAGCAATGATATTTTCCAGTTTATCATATGCATATTCTAGTATCCTATAAAACATTTTGTTATTTGTTTGTAAGCTTTTTTGAGCAACTGTTAAAATCTGAACCCTTCCAAAATTTTTTTTACTTTTTTTTTTTTTTTTTAATTTTTTACACAAAAAGAAAATAATTAGCTTTAATAAAATTTTATAACAAAACAGTCTCTGGTCAGAAAAAAAAGCTTGCACTCTTCACTTCTGCTAAAGTCTCAAATACTTCTAACATATTATTATATAATTTACATAAATTGATATTCTTAATAATGATAAATAATAAACTGATATTCTAAATAATTAAAGACATGATGGAAATCACAAATATTATTATCTACAGAAATAAGCTATAACAAAGATAAAAAGCTTATTTCTGTAGATTAATACACAAAGTAATAACTGAATTAACATAATTAAAATATAAAAAAGCTTTAAGCCAAATCTTATTTTTATTCATGTACTATTGAAAAAAGAAAAAAAAATCAAGATTTACCAGAGTGATAAATATTTTCACAAAAATAAAATGTGCAGTGGATGGCAGAAACAACAAATAATTACTAAACATAAGCTTTCGAAATGAAATTGCAAACTTATCCAATTTTTAACCATCAACCAGTTTACATAATCAGATCAAAGGTAATTCAGATAATTATAGCTATATATCTGTTAAAATTTCAATGAGAAAGCATAGTTACACTAGGAACTAGTAAATTGAGCTCTTGTAACTGTTCTGAAATTTCCATTTTAAATCTCATGTATGGTCAATTTTAATAATGATACATTACACAAAAATTTTGATTACTCATATTCTCTATTTTGTTTCCTGTAAATCTTACCAACTCTGCCTATCCTTTTAGTTTTCCTTTAAATCCTACCACATGATGATGCAAAAGGCGTTTTCACAATGATGCAAAAGGCGTCTTCCTTTTACATCATCGTGAAATAAAAAAGCCACTGTTTTGCATTTCCAAAAAAAATCATTGTAGCATTTGCCACCCCCCCCTAAAAAAAGGGCCTATATCATATTAATAATACATTACACGCTAAATGTGTTTCACTTTCATTGCCTAGTGTTTGTAACTCATAAAAATGAAAGTTAACCTATGATTTTTTGCAAAGAATAATCTGCTTACGTTATAGTAAGAAACAATTTATTCTGTTCACTAGTGCCAAATTATGTTACATTGTTCATCACTTCAAAGTTTGCTTGTTTAATTTGTTGACATTCCTAAAATATTTTCGTCAATAATATTTCATTAATTTATAAAGTTAAAGAAAATAAGCTAATGCAACATCACATTACAGAGAGATGAACTCTTCACATCATTTAACATTCAATTTTTAATTTAAAATGAAGAAACCAATGCCATAAAACCTATGTAAACCATTAATTAATCCAGTTCAGAGGGAGTTTATTTACATACAATTTTCTTTTCAATACATGCACATTCATTGAATATTTGGGATAAAAATTGCATTTTGCTATGAATGCAAAAGCTCTTTCAGCATATAAATCATTGAGAATCTTTTTTAAATAATTAGCAGTAACACTCATTAAAAAAGACAGATACTAAAGAGCAATCAATTTATTAACATTTCAAATTAACTCAGAAAATTGTATTAATTTAACAGATGCACCACAGCTGATCTAGATAATGGTTTCAACAAAACTAGTAACCACAAATTACTTTAGTTTAAAAAATATTGCTAATATATTTCAATACAATCAACCTTCTTTAACAAACGTTTCATAAAAAATTTCTTAAAAACTTCCCCCTTCCGAATCAATCGTTACTGTAATTTAAAGCAAAACAGATTATCCTTAAAAAATTCTTACCGGGCCCCACATTCATAAGGAATTTCATCTGTTTCAACAAGTATATCCCCATCAATTTCTTGATCACCTCCTTCTGGTCCAATATCAAATACCTAAAATATATATTTAATTTTAAAAAATCTGATGTACACACCACGTGACTTCTTTGCACGGAATATTAAATTATACGCATTTTTTCTTGCATTTCAATTAAACTTACTGGACTGAATTAAATCTATTTCATCGATAGCACATAAACCATAATAGAATAAATGCATTCTTTAAAATTTACTATACAGTCAAAAGTCGTTAATCCGGACTCGTCGGGACTTCGGCGATTCCGGATTATAGATCATCAGTTTAAATCTGGTAAGATGGCATGCAGAAATTATAAAATTAAAAATATGAAACCGTAATTTATGAAATAAAGAACAATTATGATCTAAAGGGTATCAAAATTTACAAAAAAAAAAAAAAAAAAAGCTTAATATTTATTTGTTTACTTTATTAAACATTTCTTTCAATGTAAGTTGTTTAAGTTGCTTTGTTTTTTATGTGATAATACATTCCCTTTAATTCTATAAACAGACATAATTTCTTGTTCAGTTACAAAGTTCCACTGTTCAAGTCCTATAATTGCTGTGTCGAGAATACCGACTAATTTGTCAATCGAAATTTTTTCGTTTTCAATAACCTCTGTCACTTTCTTCGCTATCGGAAGCGAATTATAATGACGAGGAATTTGCTTTAAATCATATCAAAGACGGAGTACATCGAGATCAAATACTACATTTAGTAAGGAATTATAAGCCAAATAAAAATAAAAACATCTGCCCTGAAGATAAGGATAGTGCCGACAGATCAACTTCCAATTCATTGCGCACTGCGGCATTAAAGATAAACAAAAGTTTTGATAAACAAACATTAAAGTTTAGATAAACAAAGGATATGCCTTTATCCATTTTTTGCAGCAATTCCACTTTTTGTTTAATAGACTTCGAAACATACTTTCGCTTTGTAGATCCTTTACATATTAGTAAATATATATCAGAAATTCTATTTGACATAATCGAAAGTTCAAACTTACTTTTATAAAATTTCTCTAACAGTCTGCAAAAAATAATAAGCCAAATCCAATTCGAAGATTAAGGAACAATGCAATCTGCAACATTAACTGAATTAGATAATTTTAGCTTAGCTTATACTGGCCGTTATACATTAAACGTGCATTTGTAAACATATTTTGCGCATGCACACATGCATATTCGCAGCCGTGAAGGTCTTATGCGCATGCGTCAACACGACGCATGCGCAGAAAGTTTGAAGCTTTGAGGTCCGGATTATGGGTGTCCGAATTAATGACTTTTGATTGTATTTGTTTACCACAGCGACACTCTGGCACTAGCTTCACTTAATAGCATTACATTTCGTCCATATTATAACTCAGAATACATATAAATTTATATCATTTGAAGAATTCTCTAATCATTGCCACATGTTCTATTCAAATACTATAATAAATCTAAAACGATGTACAAAAGAAATTAAGCAAACAAAACAAAAAAGCAACAGTTTTCACAGACAATTCAGTATTTCTCATTCAATTAATTTAGTTCTCAATTCCTGACAAAGCAAAAATACACAAATACTCAAAATATCTATATTCAAAATTACAAAGTAAATCTGAAACACTTATTTCTCAAATAAATTCCAGAATGGATTATGCATAATTTAATTTTCAATAATAAAAGAAGGCATTATCTTTGTTGTTGTGAAGCTTAGTTTCTCTAGATTGGCAACAAATTCGCTATTTTACCAAGTTTAAAATGTAAACAAACATGTCCGCCATCACAAAATTCATTAGGTTTAGCTGCACTTAGACAACTTTTAAATTGTTGATAACTCCACAAATATTGCATGCAGGTTTACTAAAGGCATAAAAAATCTTAACCTGAAGATAATAACAACATAATTCAATCATTTTAAAGCAAAAAATACACAATTTACAAACATAAGAATAAAGAAACTGAGCTCACTGAGGCGAGTAACAGAGTGGATATAGACATATATAAATATATTTATATACTTTTGATGAAGCCGATTGCAACCAAAATACGAGGTGCACATCTACATGTTATAGCAGTTCTACATACAAAATTTCAATGTTCTGAGGCTACTCATTTTTGAGTTATACGAGATACGTACATATGTACACACAGACGCCACAAAAAAATTCTCTTCAGAATTCATTTAAATTAGTTTTATAATTTTTTGGGGGGAAAGAGTCCTTTATTCTGTCCTTACTTGCGGATGTCACACAAAAACATCATTAAATTGTATTGATAGCGATCAAAATCGATATTTTCGTTAAAATTTGATACTCGCAATTTTTCGTGATTACAATACTTCCTTTTTACTTTGTACAAGGAAATAAAAAGGAATAAAAAATAAAAAGATATTTTCAACATTAATGACTTTGCTTGATATGAAAGTGCAAATAAATACAGGCTGTTTCACACTGAATTGGAGAAAAAGAATAGGACAAATTCTATAACTGAATTATTAAGCTGAAACAATTTAATTCTGAAACTACAATTACACAAGTTTTATCTTGGAACAGCAAAAAATCTTCTGGTTATGAAATTGCCACTAGAAATGGCATCATCAAATAATAATCAAAATGGCACTAGAATAATCAAAATGGCATCATTCATGCATGAGAAGACGTACTGTGTTTTGGAATATGCCAAAACAGCAATGTTTATTGTCATTCAGACATTTTTGCACAAAACATGATAAGGACCTGCCACATAGTCACAACATCGAACAGTGTGTGAAGCAGTTTTAGGACAAAGGTTGCTGGTGTAAGAAAAACCAGCCCAGGACGAACAGCAGTCAAAACCAAAGTGTTTGAAAAAATTCGTTAAACGTCTTTACAAAGTCCTATAAAATCCACACATGCAAGTTTTAAACTCCATGTGCAGCATGTAATGGTGTGGCATGTGCTACAGAAATGTCTACAATTCTGGCCGTACACCTTTCAGGTGCAGGTATTAAAACCTTCCGACAAACTGTTGTCTAAAGCTTTCTGTGAGAATTAGAAAGATAAGCTAGAGGCAGATGGTTTCACGAATAGACTTGTGTTTATGGATGAGCCACTTTTCAAGTTTCTGGCAAAGTTAATTGCCATAATTTATGATTTGGTGTATGGAAAATCAACATGGTGTAATGGAACATGAACATGATTCTTCAAAGATGAACGCTTTTGTGCCATTTTCAACAGTTGTGTTTTTAGTCCTCTTTTTTTGGTGGAAAAAATCGAGTAACAGACGCATTTATCAAGATATGCTATCAGGGTGGTTGTTCCATCAGTTGGAGGAAATGGTTCCCAGCTTCATTCTGCAGCAAGATGGAGCTCTAACACACTGGCATAAAAACGTATGCCAGTACCTGAATGACAGTCTACCTCATCACTGCTCAGGCTGTGCAGGGTCAAACGATATGCCACTGCTTCGTTGGCATACCCTGATGGCTTTGTTGGGCCCCTTGTGATATTTTTCATATCGGTGTTGACAAAGTGTTCATACTTCCATTTCCCCAGGACTTGCAGCAACTGAAGCAGTGTATAACTGAATTGCTTGAGCCATTAACAAAGGATATTCTATCACGAATGTGGGAGAAACTGGAATACTGCATTCATATTTGCCATGTCACTGAAGGAACACATATAGAACATCTATAGAAACTTGGATAACTATAGTTTCAATGTAAATTTGATTTACAAAAATAATTACAACATTCACAGGTATGCTTTCTTTTTGTTTCATTTCATATGAAACACCCTGTACTTACAATAACTACATATCATAATAATGGAGTTTGTTAATATGCCTAAATGCCAATGATAACTATTAATATTTAATTACCTACAATTTAAAGTTTTATTGAAATTAGTCCTCAGAACTAATTTACATTTTGTAATAGCAAGTACTGATCTATTTAAATAGCAAGTATAGATCTAATCATATAAAATATTGGGTTGGCAACTAAGTAATTGCGGATTTCACTCATAGATGGCTTCAGTTGAATTTTTAGGGTTGCAGACGTAGTACAAATGTAAAACACATTTTGTTATTTGATAGTTGGCAATTCAGCTGTCAATCAATAAAAAAAGTTTTTTGATCGGTTGCGTAGTTTTCGTTTGGCGTTCGTTGAAAAATGGTAAATCAAAAGGAACATTTTCGTCATATTTTGCTTTTTTATTTCCGCAAACAGAAAAACGCATCGCAAGCTCATAAAAAGTTATATGCTGTTTATGGTGACGAAGCTTAAAAGAACGACAGTGTCTAAATTGGTTTGCCAAATTTCGTTCTGGTGATTTTCCACTCAAAGATGAAAAACGCTCTGGTCGTCCAGTTGAAGTTGATGACGACCTAATCAAAACAATAATCGATTTCGGATTCGTCACAGTACAACACGTGAGATTGCAGAGAAGCTTCAAGTATCCACATATATCCATTGAAAATCACTTAAAACAACTTGGCTATATTCAAAAACTCAATACATTTGTTCCTCACGAAATGAAGGAAACGCATTTAACGCAACGCATTAACAGCTGCGATTTGCTAAAGTAAACGTAATGAAAATGATCCATTTTTAAAACGACTGATAACTGTCGATGAAAAATGGGTTGTTTACAACAATATCAAGCGGAAAGGATCGTGGAGCAGGCTTGGTGAACCAACTCAAACAACATCAAAAGCTGATATTCATCAAAAGAAGGTTTTGTTATCAGTTTGGTCGGATTACAAAGGAATTGTCTACTTTGAGCTCTTACAACCCAACCAAACGATCAATTCTGTTGTCTACATTGAACAATTAATGAAATTAAACAATGCAGTTGAAGAAAAGCGGCCCGAATTGACAAATCGAAAAGGTGTTGTATTCCATCATGACAATGCAAGTCCACACACATCTTTAGTCACTCGGCAAAAATTATTGGAATTTGGTTGGGATGTTTTGACACATCCACCATATAGTCCTGACCTTGCACCATCTGATTACTTTTTGTTTCGATCTTTACAAAACTCCTTGAATGGTAAAAATTTCAATAATGATGATGATGCCAAATCATACCTGATTCAGTTTTTTGCTAATAAAAACCAGAAGTTTTATGATTGTGGGATTATTATACTGCCTGAAAGATGGAAAAAGATCATTGATCAAAATGGGCAATACATTACAGAATAAAGTTATTTAGTTCTATGAAAAAATTGTCTTTGATTTTCTAAAAAAAATCTGCAATTACTTAGTTGCCAACCCAATATAATATAAAACAGGTACAACCAAAACACATTATTTTCAATCAACATGGAGTTCTTTTGCATAGAATTTTATTTTTTAATTTCCAGTAAAGTTACATTTCCTTTGGTGTCATTTTATCTTTATTTTAGTAGTACAATTACCTTTAGTTTTGCAGTGTATTCTCCTCTTCCACCAAACAAGCCAAATCCTCCCAGAAGAATATCAGTATCAGCCATGAAACGAATAGCTTCAATGGAATGTCCTGAATAGCCCCAACCACCACCATGACCTACAGAGATTTAAAAAAAAAAAAGAAAAGAAGGAATTTCAACTTTAATGACTGGTAATTTTATTGCATCTGAATTTTATAACATTGAAGTATTTAAAGGTGAAAGCATATTGACTCAAAATACAGTAGAATTCTACTTATTCAGACTAACTGTAACCATAGATCATCAGCATAACTGGAAAACCTGAATGCTTGGGCTTCCTTTTTTTCCTACAGGCTAGATCAGGGGTTCCCCAACTTTTTTTTGTTCCTAAGAGCACATCTGATGGATGGCAGGGACCATTTATTTATTCAACTTATTATTATTTACCATATTCAAGGTTTTATAGTTGGATGCATCTACATAAAAAAAGAGATTGATTGCATTTTGCTTTGTGCTAGTATTTGTATTGGATGCAATTTCTATTTCATTAAAAATAAGAAAACTTTCACATAGAATTTTATTGAAAAGTAAAACATTTTTATTGTGATTGCATAGTGGCGGGCACACGTTAAATGATCGGCAGGCGCTATGGTGCCTGCGGGCATATGGTTGGGAATGCCTGGGCTGCCTATTATTAAGACTAAATTATTATTACTCTAGATACTCATTTTCTATTACTCAAAGGAGAGAATTTTTTTTTTCCATCTATATGGTTTCCGTTTAATGATGATTGCATAGTTTTTATTTAAAGGAAAATAATACCTTTAAATAAAATTCAAAGCATATTTGTTAAGGCACAACTGACTAATGAAACTTTGCTGAAACTGCTACTGTTCTGAACTAACTTTTATTTTAACTAAACAATCAAATTAATTTTAATTTACATACACTGTGAAATTAACACATAATTTTTTTGAGCTTTTTCCTGTATCAAATTTAAACAATGGTATTATTTTTTATCTCTATAAAACTAAACACTTAACCTATTTTTATTCAAACAAAATAAAGCTAAAACTCATTTTTTAACTATGTAAAATAATTTATAATAGCACATTATGACTAAACAAAATAGCTCATGTAGTTGAAAAAATTAAGCCTATATAAAGAACATAATTCCTTTTACACTAATGTTAATATGCTAGATATTTGCAAATACTATGATGATGTGTTATTGAAAACCTTCTCCTGCCCTTTTTTTTTCCTCTAAATATCTATTGAGATGTCACGATATAATTAACTCAAGTGAATGATATATTATTTACTACTATAATAAATTTGTTCTAAACTACAGCTTTTTTTTTTTTTTTTTTTTTTTTTTTTTTGTATTATGACTCATTCAAAAAAAAAAAAATAGACACACCCTCAAAAAATCATCCAACAATTTCAAAATCTGACATGCAAATAAAAAGAAAAACAGAAAATATATAGTCAATGAACACTCATACTGTGCTTTAAATGCTCAACTAAAAGATGTGCAGGTTACACTTCTTGATTGCTGTGTCAATTTAGAATAAAGGATACTGTTACTCTGCATCAGGAAAAAGAATACCCTGAAGACCCACCTAATGACAACACAAGAATGAGTTTCATAAAAATTGCATCAATGCCTTCAGGTAAGCAGACTGGTCACACTGACAAATCCCCCAACATGAGGAATGTAACAATGATAAATGATGATGCTGACTTTGCCAGTAGTTCCAATGGGTCATCTATTAATCATCATGAAGGCAAGCCTCAAATGAAAACATCTTGGAAAGGTCATGCAATACCGAGAGCTACAATAAATACATCAATAACTTCACTTTCTGTCAATTCAGAACTATTTACTCACATCCTTTGGAAGTTAACTGTCATAAAGACCCACTATAATAAAGCTGTCAGGGGAGTGGACTCTATTAGGGCTAATTCTTGGACATCAATGGCACAGCTTACTCCAATGCCATGGCCACAAAGTTTGAAATGCATTAGGTTGAAGTGATATTGTGCTTAATCATAAATCTCTGTTTTCACTTAATTCAGATAACTGCAGATTTTCTGTATAGGGTATAGGAAGACCTAGACAAAGCTGTTCACTTTACATCATGAAGAAATAACATATATTACTCAAACCTGGAATCATATTCATTATCTTATTGCAGAAGCAACTATCTATGAACCCAATTGCTTATAGTGGCTCACTGCAGTACTTTAATAATCTGACAATACACAGATGACATCCTTGTTGCACTGCCAATGATCTTGCACCTGCAGATAGTCATGTTTCAGCTACATTATGCCTGTTAAGCAAATAAACTCAACTAACGAACTGCATTTAACAGAAATTATAAATCTGAAAGAATAAATCTTCAAGGATGAAATTTTCACTATTTCATGCAGCCATCATTTTCATAACTTTATAGGCATAAGGCTAATAGGAAAGTTCAAACACTGAAACAGTTTCAAAGTATACAAAATATCAACTCCAATAATTGCACACCATTTCAAACTATAATCATGTGCTCCAGATTATTGCAAGAAACTATATTCCTTCTGTGACTGTATAAAAAGAGCAATACCTAGTGCAAAGCATCAAATGCAATCAAAGCCAGACGGCTAATTTACTAGTTATTTCTGTTGCAACAAAGCTATGACCCCAAACTCTGGTGAGTGTTTAATTACACAGGATGATATATCCAAAGACCAATCATCTATGTAGTGCTATTGAAGAGCACTATAAAAAGCATTCGCAATAGTGTTGCATCTGCTGAAATTAGACAATGTAGCAATGGGGCAATGTCTTGTTCTAGGATGAAAGTCAATTCAGTCTGCAGTTCAAACCCCAGACATCTGTTTCTCTAGCTCAAGAGCAGTAGAACATACCAGCAGAAAAATATACAAAAAAGGTATATGGTGCTATATGTTCAGCTTGAAAGCACCATATCAAGCTCATGATGTAAGACAGCATCTCGACTGAGGGATGAACTCATTTACAATGGCTGGACAATGACACTATGATGGGCAATCACTGTTGTAAAGAAGTCATGTTCACTTGCTATGAAATGCCATTAGCAAAACCTTTCTTTTTATGTTACTGATAAATCTCTTCTTATATACCATTTCAGACAATGCAATGCTTCACTCTGTTACAGTAGAGGAAATTTTACATAGAATGAAGATATCTGAAAAACTTGAACCTCAAGAAAAACTTGAACTTTCAGGGGACTCCATGTTCCCTGAAATTCAATTTAAATGAAGATATATGGGAGGGATATTATGCACGACACAAATTACAGTTCATAGTTCTTCGCAACAAAATAAGCAAGAACTAATGCATGCTCTAAAGCAGAAACATAATAATCTATTCTAAGAACTCATAAACTGTATGATGCAAACATGCAATGATATTATGGTTGTTATGCAACAGTTTGAGGTGGAAATATTCCCTAGCAAGAAATCAAGCCTTAATAAGATGATTTGGCCTTAATAAGTACTTTTCATCCATACTTTGCACTTATGTACAACATCTGTGTATCATTTTTCTATGAAGGATTCACTATCATTGCTCTGATTTATTATTTGAAATAGGTAGTTGGTTATTATCTTACATTAGGTATTAGAAAATACAGATTGCCATATCCATTTTTATTCATACACAGTTTTCTCTATACATGCAGAAGTGTCACTCATCATTAAGTTTTGGGCATGTGTAAAAAATGCTCTACTCTAAGATTACATAAGCTCTTATCAATTATTTTTTATAAAAGAAAGGTAAATTACAATAAAACAAATTATACATGTAGCCACAATTAAAAAAAAGAGCATAGATATTAAATAAGCATAGATAACAAATGTGAATTAAATATAAAAATTCAGTTGTACCAAATTACATACATTAACTTCATAAATGATGTATCAAACCAAACCAGAATTTTTCCTAATTTTATCAGTTATAAATTTATAAACATATAAAGTGCTTATATTAAAATCTATATTTTTATAATACTGCTATTTACTTTTTAAAGTTACACCAAAGTAAATAGTGGGCCAATCACCACTAGATGAAAAACATAAAATATCGTATATCTTTGCATATCCCTCCCTAACTTTTACTGCCAGGTTCTGAAAATTAAAAAAAATATTTGCATAATTTCCTCTTCCTGAATTCATTGAGACAACGATCCTCGCTCTAAATTTTAAAATGGATTCTCCACGTTGTGATTATTTTCATCTTACTAACAGAGACAAACAGTTGCAAACGACCTGCAAAAATGCCGAGTTTTCCCCTTCCCTTCTAACTGCTGAATTTTACACCAGCCTAATGCAAGAACCAGCCATGATCTACTATTTTAAACTTTATTCTTCTTTCAAAATGTCACATGTAAACAAGTTGTGGATTGAAGGATATGTTTTTGCTCCATCTGAAGAGATATATTCCTATTCCATACCTTAAAAACGCTATGAAAGGCATGATATTAAAATTTCTAAATGCAAAGTAAGAAACATTATTAATCAGAAAGGGAAAAGCTGTCAATCCTTATTTCTACAACAAAGACTCCAAATGAATAGTCAAAAAAGGTACATACTGCTGCTAATGTTTTTTAAAGCTGAATCACTGGTAAAGCTAAAAACTATAACGTTCACTAGCTTTTGGTGAGATATGCTCGCAGAACTCCCTATGACAACTATTTAGCAGAAAATAAATGGAAATACATTGTGATTTTTGAAGAAGCATGGGTATACCTAAAGACTAACAAAAAAAAAAAAAAAAGATTTATTTATTATCGAAAATGAAGAGGAAAAAAATGCACAGACATGGTTCTCTCAATGCAAAAAAAGCTTCAGTATGGGGTTTATGACTACTACAAGATTCTCTTACAATGAAAAATTAAAAACAAGAGTTTAAAAAAATTTTTAAATCAACTCAACATACTATGCAGAGAAAGTTTAAGTCCAATATTTACAGAAGAAATTCTGTCTTTATGCAAATGACTTTGAAAGAATAAAACTTTATCAAGACAAAGCAAAAGTCACACTTTGAAAAGTACTGCTGCATTCTTTGAAAAAATGAAGACTGATACAGGTATTGCATATACACTTT